ACAGTACAAGATAAAATGTATAATGTGAATAATAATGAAATGTCCATACCCCCAAAAAGATAATTTTTCTGCTGCCCATTTTATGTGTGATTTTAAGTTGAATCAAAGAATTGTGGATTTTCACAGTTTTCTTTTTTTAAATTTGGAGGTTTACAGGCTATGGACATGCAGAATCTTTTTTAAACCAAACGTGTTTTTAACATATTAAACTGTAGTATGACATTTATACTATTGGTTTTGTCATGATATATATAGACTAGGTAGTATATTTTTTCATAGTAAACCATCAATCCAAGAACCTCATTGTAATGGCCCCCAAGTATCAATAAAAATTTGTTACTATAAATCTTCATTCTTCAGTAATATTTTCTTAATTTTTGGTTGCTTTAAATATCTTGATGGCTGGTATAGCCATACATTACAAGCTGCGTTTTATTACGTTTGGTTGGGAATCTTACTTTCAATTCATGTTTTAAAATATTTTATTCTACTTTGTAATGCCCAATGGGATTCTTTTCAAGATTCTGCTCACAATTGCTTATGAACCTAGAACCAAAGAGTACAAACTACCTATACTCGAAACCAACATGGGGACTCCCACTTCCAAACTATGTTTATACCAGCAGTAAATAAACACTGCTCGGACTGATAAATATGATATACATGTATAGTAGACATTATTTGGTAATGTAACTATAAAAAATAGCAAGAAGTTTCAAATCTATGCTACTGATAAATAGCCATTGCTTGAAACGTCTACCTATTTTAATAGTTAAGTCATGGAAGGTACCTTCCATGTTTAAGTAAACTTATTACCAAATATTTCTACTATATATCATATTAGTTGTACCAAATTTATTACACACAGGCCAAATTATTGACAGCGTCACAGCTGGTGACTTCCTTTAGTAATGAGAGACAAGCCATGGGGGTACATATTCAGTGAATCCTGTTGCAAAATTCAATAAAGTTTGTTTTTTGTTGAGAGGGTCGAGTAAGTGAAGTGATAAGTAAAACGGGTGTCGTCAGTGTAAGCATAATCTCTAAAACTAACAATCTCCAATTACAATTTGTATCAAAGGATTCAAAAAATAATTCTCTCGCAACAATGGTGCTATATATAGGATGAATCTGTTTGGTATTTCATTCCATATGTTAAAAATACGAATTGTAAAACTTTGTCTACTCGCATCTGTACGGGTTCTCTCGGAGTGCAAATTATTTAACAACTTATAA